TGAACTTTTTCCAGTTTCGTCTTGACAAGGTACGGGCTCCATGCTGGGGCCGCATACTCCAGGATCGGCCTTACATACATGGTATACAAGGTTCTGAAGGATTCCTTACACAGGTTTCTGGAGGCAGTTCTGATGTTAGTCAGCTTCGCATACGCCACCGATGTTATTCTTTTGATGTGGGCTTCAGGAGACAGGTTTGGCGTGATATCTTTCTCTCTGTCCGTTTCATGAAGGACGTCATCTCCCATTCTTTATCCAGTGTCTGGCCTGCTATTTCCTCTCCCTAGTTTCATTACCTTACAGTTACTTTGGTTGAACTTTAGCAGTCATTTGTTGGACCATTCCTTCAGTTTTAGTTCATCTTGTAGCCTCATACTATTTTCCTACGTTTTAATCTTCCTCATAATTTTTGCATCATCCATAAACATTGAGAGGAACGAGACTATTCCCTCCCTGGAGATCATTTACACATATCAGGAACAGTATAGGTCCAAGAACTGATCCCTGAGGGACTCCACTGGTGACGCCTCGCCACTCCGAGACCTCACCCTCTTTCTTCTTGTTGATAGTAGGTGCAGTTTGCATGAAGGGTTTGTCCTCCCGATGACTGCACCGACCTCACCCTTCACAGTGACTCGCTGTCTTCTGTTGCTTTCCCTTATCCAGTGGAGTACCTTCCCTTTCACTCCTGCCTGCATCTCCAGTTTGTGCACCACCCTCTTATGTGGTACTGTGTCAAAGGCTTTCTGGCAATCAAAAAAATATGCAGTCTGTCCAGGCCGCTCTTTCTTACCTGATTTTTGTTGCCTGGTCATAGAATTCAATCAATCCTGTGAGGCATGATCTGCCATCCCTGAACCCATGCTGATGTTTTGATACAAAGTTCTTCCGCTCCAGATGTTCCACTAGTTTTTTCGCGCAATCTTCTCCATCACTTTCCATGGTATGCAAGTTAGTGACACTGGCCTGTAGTTCAGTAACTCCTGTCTATCACCCTTCTTGAATATTGGGACTACATTAGCCGTCTTTAAAGTTTTTGGCAGTTCACTGTTACCAGTGATTTGTTATACACCATGGCTAGTGGCTGACACAGAGCTTCTTCTCCTTCCTTCAGTATCCAAGGTGAGATTCCATCCGGGCCTATAGCCTTTGTCACTTCCAACTCTAGCAGATGCTTCCTCACCTCCCCACTGGCAATCACAAACTCATCTAGTGGTGTTTGGTTAGATCTTCCCTCTCCTATCTCTGAGACTTCCCCTTGATCTGCCGTGAAGACCTCCTGAAATTTCTCATTGAGTTCTTGCACACCTCTGTCGTTTGTAGTGAATTTGTCTGCCCCTATCCTCAGTTTCATTACCTGTTCCTTCACTGATGTTTTTCTCCTGATGTAGCCGTGCAGCAATTTAGGTTGAGTCTTTGCCTTGCTTATTTTGTCATTTATAGCCTTGTGTGTGTGTGTGTGTGTGTGTGTGTGTGTGTGTGTGTGTGTGTGTGTGTGTGTGAGCATTTCACTCTCAAAGACTCTCATCATCCTTTTTAAGCCATGAACAGGCTGAGTAGCATCATATTGCATTTCTGTTTGTTTTAGCTGCATTATATTACAGTTTATGTATTCCTGTCTTTCATTGCATTATATTGTACTAATCTGTACAGTATTTCATTGTATTGCAGATTATTACGTCGTATTAAACTATACTGTTTCGTTGCATTCAGCAATTACTCTTATATTGTAATGTACATTGCATTGTATCGCCAAGTAATTTAATTTGTTTGATGATGTTCTGCTTGTTGTATTCTGATATTTCACGGTATTGTATATATATATTGCATTATATTGTCCTGTATTTCGTTCTGTTTGCAGTTTGATATCATTTTTAACGGGGAATACCCAGAAGTCCGTGAGCGATTCGAGCTAGATTCTCTCTGTCGTGCTCTGTCGTGCAGGTGGCGACGGATTAGGTCGTGCAGGTGGTTGACGGATTAGGTCTTGCAGGTGGTGACAGTTTAGGTCGTGCAGGTGGCGACGGATTAGGTCGTGCAGTGGCGACGGATTAGGTCGTGCAGGTGACGACGGATTAGGTCGTGCAGGTGGTGACAGATTAGGTCGTGCAGGTGGCGACGGATTAGGTCGTGCAGTGGCGACGGATTAGGTCGTGCAGGTGGTGACAGATTAGGTCGTGCAGGTGGTGACAGATTAGGTCGTGCAGGTGGCGACGGATTAGGTCGTGCAGTGGCGACGGATTAGGTCGTGCAGGTGGTGACAGATTAGGTCGTGCAGGTGGTGACAGATTAGGTCGTGCAGGTGGCTATACAATAAGCCATGTTGACTGCTCTTTATTTAATCATCCTGTATCACGACAGGTAAACACAAGCAACAGGTTGGGACGGGGAAACTGTCACGGTATGTGTGTGTGTGTGTGTGTGTGTGTGTGTGTGTGTGTGTGTGTGTGCGTGCGCGTGCGTGCGTGCGTGTGTGTGTGTGTGTGTGTGTGTGTGTGTGTGTGTGTGTGTGTGTGTGTGTGTGTGTGTGTGTGTGTGCTTTCCTAAATTCTGGTTTTTATCATCTGTCGGGAATTGGACAGGATGTATTGGTTACGTGTCTGTCCGTTTCGCTCTAATACAGACGCGGGGAGATTCTGTTCTCAAAGCTCTGACAATGTCTATTTTTAGGAAATGTTCAAATAGACTGTTTGATGTAGACAAAGTTCGGTCAGGAATTATGTCAAAATTTGTCAACGTAACCCATTAGCTACCCTCCTCTCCTGACCCCCATAACAATTACCCCTCTTCCTCCTAACTCCATCCTAATCCCCTTTTCCTCAAACACTTTCCCAATCCAACCCTTCCTTCTCCGTTACTCATTGCCCTCCCCCCCCCTCCCATCAGACACCTACACACATTCATATCCTCTGGCCCACTTACCCGTCTTTCCCTGGCCCTTTTCCCTTTTCCCTGGCCCTCACCCCCTTTCCCTGGCCCACACCCCCTTTCCCTGGCCCCTTACCCCTTTCCCCAGAATCCCTCGAGGCCCTGTTAACCACCACACAACTTGCCATACCCATGGAAACACTTCCTACACCTGTGGAATCTTACCATGGGTATAGAAATGAGTGTTTTTTTTCAATGTTTGCTGACGAAGCCAAATTAATGAGAAGGATTAAGATATAGGAGGACATCGTGAGGCTGCAAGATATCTTGGACAAACATACCAGATATCATGGTTGATATCATAGCAGACTTGTCCCCCTGAAGAGGACAGGTCTGGAGTGACCAAGAAGATATCATCAGTGACATATCCTAGGTTGGCCAAGGTTGGCCGAACTGCCTTTAGAAACTTGTGGAAAAAATAATTTAGAACCTTGTATACCACATACGTCACACCAGTCCTGGGGTATGCAGCTCCACGCTCGCCCACTAAATAAAGAAGAAACATTCTTCTTTAACAAAACAAAAAACAAAAAGAGGAACGGAACGTATCTCCCATACAAGTGTACCTATGGGAGACATGGGGTGTAGTATACATGGATACTGGGGTGCTTCTTCCCAATGATCCTTCCCGTCTCTCTTCTGTCCCAGTGGCCCCTTTCCTGTCTCCTGTTGTCTTAACCGTTTAAATCTCTTGCTGCACTACTCCCTTCAACTTTCCCCAAGTCCACCTCCAATTTTCTGTCTCTGTCCCCCTTCCCGTTCCATATGTCTTCTGCTCCCTCCAATTTCTTGCCGTCTACAGTCTCCTGCACACTACCATCTCCTTTCCCCCAGCATCATCTCCCCCATCCATCCATCCCCCTGTCTCCCTTTTTTCCCCATCACCTCCCCCTCCCTACTCTATTTTTACCCTTTCCCCACCACCTCGCGCCCCTCATATAACCCCACACGCCTACCGCACATTACACCTTCTCCACCACAGACCTCGTGAAGCTCCGAACAGGAGTTCGACCCCCGTCACCTAGTAGTAATATCGCCGCAGGAGTTCAGGGACACGGCGCAGGCGGGTGGTTCACAAGGAGGTCGAGACCGGCGTTCCGTTTTTTGTTTTATAATTCTTGTGAGGAAGTATCCGCGTAGTTGGCCGGGGTCTCCATTTTGCGCCTCCTAATTGTTTATTTAGAGTACACGGCGATATGCTGTGGCGAGGTGCCGCGGGTGGCGCTGCTGTCTGGCCCCATGGATGCTGAGGGTGAACACTCTCAACCTTCACTACCCTTCCCTGGCTGCTCTCTCTCTCACACAGGAGTGGCACGGGAGTGCGATGGCCAGTGCAGCAGTAAAGGATGAAGGGAAGGCAGTTTGTTCAGTCAGAAAAGAAAGACCTGGAAATGGACATAACTCCAAATCTAATGCCAGAAGACCGTATTAGCAGGTAACAACGGCTGCATATACAATACTGGCCACCATCCGCGTGTCCTTCAGAAATTTGGCCAATGGGTTGTTTTTGTTGTTATAGATTCAGCTACTCTGAACAAGTTCCAAGTAGCACGGGCTATGGTGAGCCCGTAACTTGCCCCGCTCCTGTGCCAAGTAAGTAGCACGGTCTATGGTGAGCCGTAGTGGACTTACCTAGCACAGGAGTGGTGCTGTGTCTATGTTGAATGGCCAATGGGTTGTTTTGTTGTTTCAGATTTAGCTACTCACAACGAAGTGTCCATGTAGCACAGGCTATGGTGAGCCCGTAAAATGGTCAATGAGTTGTTATAGATTCATCTACTTGGAACAAAAAGTTCCAAGTAGCACGGGCTATGGTGAGCCCGTAGTGGACTTACCTGGCACAGGAGCGGGGCTGTAACTGAGCCAATGATGATGATGATGATAAAGATTAAGCCACCCAAGAGGTGGCACGGGCATGAATAGCCCGTAAGTGGTGGCCCTTTTGAGCCATTACCAGTATCAAGAGATGATACTGGAGATCTGTGGAGGTGCGACATCTCCCTGCGTGACGGGAGATGTCTCCCGGACCAAATGGTGACCAAATGGTGTGGGCCAATGGGGTTTTCCGGACCCTATATACAGCGGAGATGAGATTGTTCCATGATGGTTCCATGGTTCCATGATGGGGATGCTCTTGAATACGCATCCCCATCATGGAACCCGTACCTGAAAAAGAAGAAGGGGAGGGAATTAGAAAATATTCAGAGATATGCAACGGGACTCGTTAGTGAACTGAAGGGATTAAGCTATGAGGAATGACTGATACAATTACTCTTAACCATACTGGAGGAAAGGAGAGATATGGAGATATAATAACAATATATAAGATTATTAAGGAAATTGATAAGGTAGACACAGCAGCACTGTTCAAATTAGGAACAGCAGAACGAGGGGACATAGAGGGAACCTCGGACGTAAAAGAATCACAGGGTCGTCAGAATGAACTTTTCAGTGTCAGAGCTGTCAGCAAGTGGAACAGGTTAGACGTAGAAGTCGTTGAAGTTTATTCGACTCGAAGTTTTAAATGTAAATATGATATAAGCGTGAGAAATGAGTCATTGCATTCTTCATAATAAATTTTCTGAGAAAAGGGAAGCAAATGGTGAAGGGGGGGGGGATGAAATGGGGAGTGACCAAGGCAATGGGGACTAGGGAGTCAAGGGAAAGATGGGGTGAAGAGTGGGGAAGAGACCCGGGAGTATGCAGGTACCCCTTCTATATATATAAATGGAGATGTCTGTTTGAGGAAAAGGAAATGATTAGAAAAGCAGTAGACACACTAGTGAACACTGTGCATCAAGATATCCGCCACCAAGATAATGTTACTAAAACAAGACTAAAAACAGTGTTCTAAAACAGAAGTGGAAAAGAAACGGGGGAAAAGGAGGAAACCCCACCTCCATTTAAAACTTTGACTCAAATATCACAGTAACAAGGTTATCGCGAATAAACGAACATAATTACGGGCTCACCATAGCCCGTGCTACAACGACATTTCGTTCTGAGTAGCTAAATATAAAACAACAAAAACAACTAATCAACTAATCAGACCCCACAACTAGGGGTCTAGTAGCTGAGCGGACAGCGCGCAGGACTCGTAATTCTGTGGCCCGGGTTCGATTCCCGGACCAGGCAGAAACAAATGGGCAAAGTTTCTTTCATCCTGATGCCCCTGTTACCTAGCAGTAAATAGGTACCTGGGAGTTAGACAGCTGTTATGGAGCTGCTTCCTGTGTGTGTGTGTGTGTGTGTGTGTGTGTGTGTGTGTGTGTGTGTGTGTGTGTGTATGTGTGTGTGTGTGTGTGTGTGTGTGTGTGTGTATGTGTGTGTGTGTGTGTGTGTGTGTGTAGGCAGGGGGAAATTAGTAGTTACAGTTGATTGAACAGTACAGTTAGTTGACAGTTGAGAGGCGGGCCGAAAGAGAAGAGCTCAACCCTTGCAAGAACAACTAGATGAATACAACTAGGTAAATATATACCTTGTATGACTAACCATCCAGTGTGATGGGGATTTTTAGCATCACGTAGCTAGTTTTTTGACGCATTGTACTCCCCTTCATATAGTCTAAGGCAGCTGAATAAATGCAGATGTATCTAAATGCGTTAATAAAAAAAAGTATGGGATATGCTAAGGTGCATAGATCCCTGGCTATCTGGGTTCGAATCCTTGAGGGGGTGAGGAGTTCTCGGTTGCATATCGGCTTTGGGGACCAGTCAAGCTTGTTCGAATTTGTGTTACTCACGTGGCCTCAACATGCGAGGTGATTTGATAAAATATCTGTCCCAAAAATTGACCACCGAGTGCTGTCGGAGGTTGGGATAAGGGTCTGACCACTTCCAATCCTTTTGAAGTCAGTGTGGAGGCCTGGTCGAAAACCGAGCCACGGGGACGCTAAGCCCCGAAATCATCTCAAGAGTAACCTCAAGGTAAGGTAGCAGGAAATATAGGATAAGGTGCACGGAGTCCTGGCTGTCTGGGTTCGAATCCTTCAAAAGTGAGTTTTATATCCCCGCATTAGAGGGGATATATATATATATATATATATATATATATATATATATATATATATATATATATATATATATATATATATATATATATATATATATATATAATATACACACACACAACTTTTAGACACCCAAACCCACCAGGAGACTTGAACCCTGGCCATCAAGATGCCAGGTATGCACTTAACCCACTACACCATACTCAGAGCCTTAAAAGAGGTGGGAGTTCTGGGGTATTTGAACCCCCAGATATCCCCCCCCTCCCAAGACCACTAGAGACAGTGAGGGATTACTGACGTTTTCTATCAAGCCCTGTTATATGGGGGAACACGGTGTCCAATGCTTAATGCACGCACTTGCCTAAACAACAAGAGTGAGGTTTACAACTTTTCAGTTTACAACTTTACAAGAAAAGTTGTAAACTTCAAACTTGTGGTTTAGGCAAGTGTGTGCATATATATATATATATATATATATATATATATATATATATATATATATATATGTCGTACCTAGTAGCCAGAACTCACTTTTTGACCTACTATTCAAGGCCCGATTTGCCTAATAAGCCAAGTTTTCCTGAATTAATATATTTTTTCTAATTTTTTTCTTATGAAATGATAAAGCTACCCATTTCATTATGTATGAGGTCAATTTTTTTTTATTGTAGTTAAAATTAACGTAGATATATGACCGAACCTAACCAACCCTACCTAACCTAACCTAACCTATCTTCATAGGTTAGGTTGGGTTAGGTTGCCGAAAAAGGTAGGTTAGGTTAGGTTAGGTAGGTTAGGTAGTCTAAAAAACATTAATTCATGAAAACTTGGCTTATTAGGCAAATCGGGCCTTCAATAGTAGGCTGAGAAGTGCGTTCTGGCTATTAGGTACGACATATATATATATAATAATAATATGGAAGGGAGTACCACCTCTGACTGGAAAAAAGGGACACTTAGCCTCGGAGAAAAGCACACATGACGCATTAGAGGGGATTTTTATGACGAAAAGGTGATCACACGGTCACAATTACGAGCAAAGAAAGTGGTATAATTTATGTATATTAGCATACATTAGGATATTTTATATTTACTGATATAGCAAGCCATTATGACTATATAGCGATGGGAAGGGATCAGGATAATGATTTGAGATGGGACGGGGGGAAAGGAATGGTACCCAACCATTTGGACGGTCGGGGATTGAACGCCGACCTGCATGAAGCGAGACCGTCGCTCTACCGTCCAGCCCAAGTGATTGGGCGAAACTATAGGGAGATAAAATAGTTTCAGAAGCAGATACGACAGGAGACAACCCGCACCTAGTGAGGAGGGTCTCAGGAGCTAGCGCAATACTCTTCAAGCATGTTACGGTGAGTACATTTAGACAAGTCCACACTTCCCCCCCCCCTCCCCCCCCCCCCCCCCCCCCTCACACACACACACCAAGCTCATAAAATAAGAGAAATGGACAAACATTGTGAGACAGATAAATTGGATTATTAACGAGAAAATTGCTTCGGAGAAATAGGGACTGAGGCCAGTAAAGTCTGCCAATTTCACACAATTACGGAGACAACATGCATAGCGCCTCGAATGCTGGTTTGGATGTGTTCAAATTGTCGTCGTGTAAAGTCAATAATGGGTCGAAATTGTTCTCTCCACATATCGCAACAGCTATTTTCATACTGTCGTTGACGACATTGTTTTAATGTTATTCACCATTTCCTTCTGTCGGATTTCTTTTCAATACCTCTGGAACGCCTCATCGTATTGACCTGAAAATTAAGACATTTTAATGTCAGTAAAATTTTATAGCTGTTATTGCAATAGACAAATATAGTTCCGTAGCATCTGCAGAGGACTGAGTGAAGTGTTGAACAATGCCGCTTGAGGACCATTAAAGGTTCCATTTTATGTTTATCTATTTTATACGAGTGAATGTCTGTTCAAAGTTGGAGGCCAGAGGCTAGGAGCTATCCTGACCCAAATCTGTAGTTGTTGTTATTGTTTCAGAATCGCTACTTGGAACAGAAAGTTCCAAGTAGCACAGGCTATGGTGAGCCCGTAGGGTAAATGCCTGGGGTACGGAAGGGACCTTGGCTGGTCGGGGTAGGCCTAAGTTAAATGATTTAAGAAATATTGGTCGGGAGCCGGTCGGCCGAGAGGACAGCACGTTGGCTTGTGATCTTGTGGTCCCGGGTTCGATCCCGGGCGCCGGCGAGAAATAATGGGCAGAGTTTCTTTCACCCTATGCCCCTGTTAGCTAGCAGTAAAATAGGTACCTGGGTGTTAGTCAGCTGTCACGGGTTGCTTCCTCGGGGTGGAGGCCTGGTCGAGGACCGGGCCGCGGGGACACTAAAGCCCCGAAATCATCTCAAGATAAGATCTCAAGATAACCACCCCCCCCCACCCCCCGATCCTCTCAGATTCAATTCTGGTCAAGTGTGAAATATTTGTTCAGATGTCCGAAGACTTTTTCGTTTTGACAAAAATTATTTATACAAAAACATAAATTGTTTTAATTTCTTCATATTATATTTTGTGACTTGGAAGAGGAGTTAATAGGAGGGGGATAGGGAGGATGTTTTGAGGGGGAGAGAGGAGGAGGCGAAGAGTCAGATATAAGGTGGGAGAGGGTTGATGTGGGATTTTGGCCGAGAAGAAGGAGGGAGGGAGCATATCTTCCCGGGGGGGGGGGGGGGAGAGAAAGGATGGGTGATGGGAGAAGGGAGGCCGATGGGAGGGCTAGGGACGATGACGAGAGAAGAGGACCAGACCACAAGTCGATCTTGATCGACTTGAGAATGGTCCAGGACGGACCGAAACGTCGTCGTCCCTTCACCTTCTAGTGTGTGGTCTGGTCAACTTATTTTAGCCACGTTATTGTGAATCATTGCCTGCGAGAGAAGGGGGAAAAGGCACCTGAGCACCGCCGATACCCTCCTAATTTTATATTTTATAAAAGGGATGGGGGCTAAGTGAAGGGGAATGGGCGAGAGAGGGGGGGGATAGGACGAGGGGAGGAGGGAAGGGGAAGATGGTCGAGACGGGGGAAGAGGGGAAAGACTGTTTACTTTAAAGTGATCACATTGCTTTCTGGGATTGTACGTTCAGATGAAGAGAGACTGACAGACGCAGGCGATGAGTCACAATAACGTGGCTAAACTAAGTTGACCAGACCACACACTAGAAGGTGACGGGACGGCGACGTTTTGGTTCGTCCTGGACCATTCTCAAGTCGTCAAAGAGACTGATAGATCCGGGTATTCCGCTAATATATTTATAGAAGGGAATGTCTGTCCATCCAAGGTAGAAGGCAAGAAGCCTGGCTTCACCCAACTTTTAAATATTACACATGGGGGGTTTGTGACTGTCATAGGCTAGTTGAGGCCGGCCACATTGCCTCCCTTTAAAAAAAAATATTGGCTCCGACAATGACCCCTGTAATTTTGATGAAGGAAGGAAAGAGGAGACAGAGATATGACAAATCAGGGTGTCCATGGGTTCCCCTTCTTCATTTTAGTCTTTATAATATATATATATATATATATATATATATATATATATATATATATATATATATATATATATGCGAACAAGCCTGAATGGTCCCCAGGACATATGCAACTGAAAACTCACACCCCAGAAGTGACTCGAACCCATACTCCCAGAAGCAACGCATCTGGTATGTACAAGACGCCTTAATCCACTTGACCATCACGACCGGACATAATGAGGTGATAGCCGAGGCTATTTGAACCACCCCACCGCCGGCACTCGGATAGTTATCTTGGGCATAGCATTTTACCAAATCACCTCATTCTTTGGGGCAACACGTGAGGAACACAAATGCGAACAAGCCTGAATGGTCCCAGGACATATGCAACTGAAAACTCACACCCCAGAAGTGACTCGAACCCATACTCCCAGAAGCAACGCATCTGGTATGTACAAGACGCCTTAATCCACTTGACCATCACGACCGGACATAATGAGGTGATAGCCGAGGCTATTTGAACCACCCCACCGCCGGCACTCGGATAGTTATCTTGGGCATAGCATTTTACCAAATCACCTCATTCTTTGGGGCAACACGTGAGGAACACAAATGCGAACAAGCCTGAATGGTCCCCAGGACATATGCAACTGAAAACTCACACCCCAGAAGTGACTCGAACCCATACTCCCAGAAGCAACGCATCTGGTATGTACAAGACGCCTTAATCCACTTGACCATCACGACCGGACATAATGAGGTGATAGCCGAGGCTATTTGAACCACCCCACCGCCGGCACTCGGATAGTTATCTTGGGCATAGCATTTTACCAAATCACCTCATTCTTTGGGGCAACACGTGAGGAACACAAATGCGAACAAGCCTGAATGGTCCCCAGGACATATGCAACTGAAAACTCACACCCCAGAAGTGACTCGAACCCATACTCCCAGAAGCAACGCATCTGGTATGTACAAGACGCCTTAATCCACTTGACCATCACGACCGGACATAATGAGGTGATAGCCGAGGCTATTTGAACCACCCCACCGCCGGCACTCGGATAGTTATCTTGGGCATAGCATTTTACCAAATCACCTCATTCTTTGGGGCAACACGTGAGGAACACAAATGCGAACAAGCCTGAATGGTCCCCAGGACATATGCAACTGAAAACTCACACCCCAGAAGTGACTCGAACCCATACTCCCAGAAGCAACGCATCTGGTATGTACAAGACGCCTTAATCCACTTGACCATCACGACCGGACATAATGAGGTGATAGCCGAGGCTATTTGAACCACCCCACCGCCGGCACTCGGATAGTTATCTTGGGCATAGCATTTTACCAAATCACCTCATTCTTTGGGGCAACACGTGAGGAACACAAATGCGAACAAGCCTGAATGGTCCCCAGGACATATGCAACTGAAAACTCACACCCCAGAAGTGACTCGAACCCATACTCCCAGAAGCAACGCATCTGGTATGTACAAGACGCCTTAATCCACTTGACCATCACGACCGGACATAATGAGGTGATAGCCGAGGCTATTTGAACCACCCCACCGCCGGCACTCGGATAGTTATCTTGGGCATAGCATTTTACCAAATCACCTCATTCTTTGGGGCAACACGTGAGGAACACAAATGCGAACAAGCCTGAATGGTCCCCAGGACATATGCAACTGAAAACTCACACCCCAGAAGTGACTCGAACCCATACTCCCAGAAGCAACGCATCTGGTATGTACAAGACGCCTTAATCCACTTGACCATCACGACCGGACATAATGAGGTGATAGCCGAGGCTATTTGAACCACCCCACCGCCGGCACTCGGATAGTTATCTTGGGCATAGCATTTTACCAAATCACCTCATTCTTTGGGGCAACACGTGAGGAACACAAATGCGAACAAGCCTGAATGGTCCCCAGGACATATGCAACTGAAAACTCACACCCCAGAAGTGACTCGAACCCATACTCCCAGAAGCAACGCATCTGGTATGTACAAGACGCCTTAATCCACTTGACCATCACGACCGGACATAATGAGGTGATAGCCGAGGCTATTTGAACCACCCCACCGCCGGCACTCGGATAGTTATCTTGGGCATAGCATTTTACCAAATCACCTCATTCTTTGGGGCAACACGTGAGGAACACAAATGCGAACAAGCCTGAATGGTCCCCAGGACATATGCAACTGAAAACTCACACCCCAGAAGTGACTCGAACCCATACTCCCAGAAGCAACGCATCTGGTATGTACAAGACGCCTTAATCCACTTGACCATCACGACCGGACATAATGAGGTGATAGCCGAGGCTATTTGAACCACCCCACCGCCGGCACTCGGATAGTTATCTTGGGCATAGCATTTTACCAAATCACCTCATTCTTTGGGGCAACACGTGAGGAACACAAATGCGAACAAGCCTGAATGGTCCCCAGGACATATGCAACTGAAAACTCACACCCCAGAAGTGACTCGAACCCATACTCCCAGAAGCAACGCATCTGGTATGTACAAGACGCCTTAATCCACTTGACCATCACGACCGGACATAATGAGGTGATAGCCGAGGCTATTTGAACCACCCCACCGCCGGCACTCGGATAGTTATCTTGGGCATAGCATTTTACCAAATCACCTCATTCTTTGGGGCAACACGTGAGGAACACAAATGCGAACAAGCCTGAATGGTCCCCAGGACATATGCAACTGAAAACTCACACCCCAGAAGTGACTCGAACCCATACTCCCAGAAGCAACGCATCTGGTATGTACAAGACGCCTTAATCCACTTGACCATCACGACCGGACATAATGAGGTGATAGCCGAGGCTATTTGAACCACCCCACCGCCGGCACTCGGATAGTTATCTTGGGCATAGCATTTTACCAAATCACCTCATTCTTTGGGGCAACACGTGAGGAACACAAATGCGAACAAGCCTGAATGGTCCCCAGGACATATGCAACTGAAAACTCACACCCCAGAAGTGACTCGAACCCATACTCCCAGAAGCAACGCATCTGGTATGTACAAGACGCCTTAATCCACTTGACCATCACGACCGGACATAATGAGGTGATAGCCGAGGCTATTTGAACCACCCCACCGCCGGCACACGGATAGTTATCTTGGGCATAGCATTTTACCAAACGTGTTGCCCCAAAGAATGAGGTGATTTGGTAAAATGCTATGCCCAAGATAACTATCCGAGTGCCGGCGGTGGGGTGGTTCAAATAGCCTCGGCTATCACCTCATTATGTCCGGTCGTGATGGTCAAGTGGATTAAGGCGTCTTGTACATACCAGATGCGTTGCTTCTGGGAGTATGGGTTCGAGTCACTTCTGGGGTGTGAGTTTTCAGTTGCATATGTCCTGGGGACCATTCAGGCTTGTTCGCATTTGTGTTCCTCACGTGTTGCCCCAAAGAATGAGGTGATTTGGTAAAATGCTATGCCCAAGATAACTATCCGAGTGCCGGCGGTGGGGTGGTTCAAATAGCCTCGGCTATCACCTCATTATGTCCGGTCGTGATGGTCAAGTGGATTAAGGCGTCTTGTACATACCAGATGCGTTGCTTCTGGGAGTATGGGTTCGAGTCACTTCTGGGGTGTGAGTTTTCAGTTGCATATGTCCTGGGGACCATTCAGGCTTGTTCGCATTTGTGTTCCTCACGTGTTGCCCCAAAGAATGAGGTGATTTGGTAAAATGCTATGCCCAAGATAACTATCCGAGTGCCGGCGGTGGGGTGGTTCAAATAGCCTCGGCTATCACCTCATTATGTCCGGTCGTGATGGTCAAGTGGATTAAGGCGTCTTGTACATACCAGATGCGTTGCTTCTGGGAGTATGGGTTCGAGTCACTTCTGGGGTGTGAGTTTTCAGTTGCATATGTCCTGGGGACCATTCAGGCTTGTTCGCATTTGTGTTCCTCACGTGTTGCCCCAAAGAATGAGGTGATTTGGTAAAATGCTATGCCCAAGATAACTATCCGAGTGCCGGCGGTGGGGTGGTTCAAATAGCCTCGGCTATCACCTCATTATGTCCGGTCGTGATGGTCAAGTGGATTAAGGCGTCTTGTACATACCAGATGCGTTGCTTCTGGGAGTATGGGTTCGAGTCACTTCTGGGGTGTGAGTTTTCAGTTGCATATGTCCTGGGGACCATTCAGGCTTGTTCGCATTTGTGTTCCTCACGTGTTGCCCCAAAGAATGAGGTGATTTGGTAAAATGCTATGCCCAAGATAACTATCCGAGTGCCGGCGGTGGGGTGGTTCAAATAGCCTCGGCTATCACCTCATTATGTCCGGTCGTGATGGTCAAGTGGATTAAGGCGTCTTGTACATACCAGATGCGTTGCTTCTGGGAGTATGGGTTCGAGTCACTTCTGGGGTGTGAGTTTTCAGTTGCATATGTCCTGGGGACCATTCAGGCTTGTTCGCATTTGTGTTCCTCACGTGTTGCCCCAAAGAATGAGGTGATTTGGTAAAATGCTATGCCCAAGATAACTATCCGAGTGCCGGCGGTGGGGTGGTTCAAATAGCCTCGGCTATCACCTCATTATGTCCGGTCGTGATGGTCAAGTGGATTAAGGCGTCTTGTACATACCAGATGCGTTGCTTCTGGGAGTATGGGTTCGAGTCACTTCTGGGGTGTGAGTTTTCAGTTATATATATATATATATATATATATATATATATATATATATATATATATATATATATATATGTATATGTATATATATATATATAATATTTATACTGTGTTGTTTATTATATATATATATATATATATATATATATATATATATATATATATATATATATATATATATATATATATATATATATATATAAACTCACACCCCAGAGTCACTTCTGGGGTGTGAGTTTTCATTCGCATATAGTCCTGGGGACCATTCAGGCTTGTTCGCATATATATATATATATATATATATATAAATAAACAACACAGCGCTGAGAACCGAGACCTCAAATTACACACAATAAATATCATAATCCAGCCATAATCTGCAGGGTGGCAGAGAGCCGCTTATATCATAATTCACTTTTCGGCGCCGGGCCAATGTTTACACAGATCACGAGTGGCGTTTCGGATCCTCTTCAAAACCTGCTGTATATAATTCTCGTGCGTGCGCGCGCGTGTGCCTGTGTACACCAGTGTTTTTGGCTTTAAGGTGCAACGAAAAGGTGTTTGATTTATTAACTTTCTATTGTACCCCGGCTGTGCTCGGGTCTCTCTCTCTCTCTCTCTCTCTCTCTCTCTCTCTCTCTCTCTCTCTCTCTCTCTCTCTCTCTCTCTCTCTAGGGGTGGATGGTAGTGGCTTGGTTTATAAGTTGCTTTTGCTGCTATGACTTATCAGGGAGTAAAGTTGGGTCAGACAAATGCCAAGCGTCTAGCCTACAACCTTGGATACATACACATATTGCTGATGTAAATAGATATATGATATTATTAAAATATATATATAAAGAAAATGAGTAACAGTACTGAACGTTATGAATATATATATAATTTGTTTTTAAATAGATCGGAAGACATATGTTGGTGATTTTGATTCCTTTTAGAAGACTTATCTGTGGATAATGCTCGCAATATTGTACGCAGATGACTTGCCTTAGAGCAGACTGCGTTGCTGTTCCTTGACGGATCAATCATGACGATCTTATTGTAGGAGTGATCGTACAGGATCTTCCTGTTGGAGTGATCGTACAGGATCTTCCTGTTGGAGTGATCGTACAGGATCTTCCTGTTGGAGTGATCGTACAGGATCTTCCTGTTGGAGTGATCATACAGGATCTTCCTGCAGGAGTGATCATACCGGATCTTCCTGCAGGAGTGATCATACCGGATCTTCCTGAAGGAGTGATCATACAAGATCTTCTTGCAGGAAGACCACGTTCCTACAGGATGACCATGCTTTTATATATATATATATATATATATATATATATATATATATATATATATATATATATATATATATATATATATATATATATATATATATATATATATATACATATATATATATTAGTATATTTTGGTAGCAGTCTTTCCTGTAGACATATATTATTAAATATGACCGAAAAAGTAAGATTAATAATTCTAACACGAATTTTCTCAATCTTTCGCACATTTCTTTTCACTGTTGGAGGTAATTCAAAAATCAATTCTCCAAAATTCATTTTTATTTCTAGTCTGACGCGACACTTGAGCGCGTTTCGTAAAACTTATTACGTTTTCAAAGACTTTAGTTAACACATACACAATTGAATAGAACTTACTGAATAGAATAGAACATCTCCGATTTTGTTTATATCTACATTTGAGTGAGGTGGATGGGGTGAGGTGGTATTTAATAAGGTATTAATTTCATCAACACAAGCCAGAACATGAAACAATGGGTATTGAATAGAAGTGATTGTAGAAAGCCTATTGGTCCATATTTCTCGGTCCATATGTGTGTCAAGACACACAAGCCTGGAAACCCACTTCGGCCAATCATTAGCCAGATACCCACACCCACGTACAGACTAGCGAAGCGACTCAACGGCCTGCTGACTCCTTATGTCCCTTGCGCCTTCAGCCTGAAGTCGCCAAAGGAATTTGTTGACTTACTGCGGGGCACACGGGCCACAGGAATAAGAGCCTCGTTGGACGTAGAATCGCTGTTCGCTAACATAACGTATATATTATATATATATATATATATATATATATATATATATATATATATATATATATATATATATATATATAATATGCGAGCAAGCCTGAATGATCTCCAGGACTATATGCAACTGAAAACTCACACCCCCAGAAGTGACTCGAACCCATACTGTCAGGAGCACAATGCAACTGGTGTGTACAGGACACCTTAATCCACTCGACCATCACGACCGGTCAAAAGCTGATTGTAGCCGAGGCTATTTTGCCCATCAGCCCGCCGGCACTCTGATGGTAATCTTGGGCATAGTATTTTATCAAATCACCTCATTCTTTGGGGCACACGTGAGGAACACAAATGCGAACAAGCCTGAATGGTCCCCAGGACTATATGCAACTGAAAACTCACACCCTAGAAGTGGGTTTGATTTGATAAAGATGAGGTGATTTGATAAAAATGAGGTGATTTGATAAGAATTAGGTGATTTGATAAAATAATAAGCCCAAGATTACCATCAGAGTGCCGGCGGGCTGATGGGCAAACATCTGGGTTTTTTCAACACCAGACTGGTGTTGAAAACGGCTGTAAAGCGGCCGAAACGTTCACCTTCCTGTCCAATTTCTTTGTGAATTTTCGTATACAAATGATCAGTTTTTCATGATCGTCAATTATATATATATATATATATATATATATATATATATATATATATATATATATATATATATATATATATATATATATGATATAATATATACACACACAGTCCAACTCAGTTACTTCAGTTACTTTCATTTTAGTGAGTAACGGGAATAAGTCACGCTCAGGATACATAAATCCATTCCCCCCCTCACCCTCTCCCTCCCCACACTTTCCCCCCCCCCCTAACATTCACCCCTTCCCCCCCTTAACCCCCCACCCCTCACTCCTTCCCCCCCCTCTCCCCCTTCCCCCAGCGCAATAACATAAATAATTACATCATCTTGGTATTTCTCTTCATCAAACATGCAACGTACAGAATAATTTCCTAGATTTTGTCAAATTACAGACTAGAGCGGACCTGAGGGAGGGACCCCGTGTCTGCCTCGCATTCATCCTTACTATTTTTAATACTTATATTATAAGGACTCCCCTGATGGCTATCGTGGTATGCAGGAGCCCCTGATGGTTATCGTGGTATGTAGGAGCCCCTGATGGTTATCCTGGTATGTAGGAGCCCCTGATGGTTATCCTGGTATGCAGGAGCCCCTGATGGTTATCGTGGTATGCAGGAGCCCCTGATGGCTATCGTGGTATGCAGGAGCCCCTGATGTATGGTATGCAGGAGCCCCTGATGGTTATCGTGGTATGTAGGAGCCCCTGATGGTTATCGTGGTATGTAGGAGCCCCTGATGGTTATCGTGGTATGCAAGAGCGTGGTATGTAGGAGCCTGATGGTTATCGTGGTATGCAACAGCCCCTGATGGTTATCGTGGTATGTAGGAGCCCCTGATGGTTATCGTGGTATGTAGGAGCCCCTGATGGTTATCCTGGTATGTAGGAGCCCCTGATGGTTATCCTGGTATGTAGGAGCCCCTGATGGTTATCGTGGTATGCAGGAGCCCCCTGATGGTTATCGTGGTATGCAAGAGCCCCTGATGGTTATCGTGGTATGCAACAGCCCGTGATGGTTATCGTGGTATGTAGGAGCCCCTGATGGTTATCGTGGTATGTAGGAGCCCCTGATGGTTATCCTGGTATGTAGGAGCCCCTGATCGTTATCGTGGTATGCAGGAGCCCCTGATGGTTATCCTGGTATGTAGGAGCCCCTGATGGTTATCGTGGTATGCAGGAGCCCCTGATGGTTATCGTGGTATGCAGGAGCCCCTGATGGTTATCGTGGTATGTAGGAGCCCCTGATGGTTATCGTGGTATGTAGGAGCCCCTGATGGTTATCCTGGTATGTAGGAGCCCCTGATCGTTATCGTGGTATGCAGGAGCCCCTGATGGTTATCCTGGTATGTAGGAGCCCCTGATCGTTATCGTGGTATGCAGGAGCCCCCTGATGGTTATCGTGGTATGCAGGAGCCCCTGATCGTTATCGTGGTATGCAGGAGCCCCTGATCGTTATCGTGGTATGCAGGAGCCCCTGATCGTTATCGTGGTATGCAGGAGCGCTGATGGTTATCGTGGTATGCAGGAGCCCCTGATCGTTATCGTGGTATGCAGGAGCCCCTGATGGTTATCCTGGTATGTAGGAGCCCCTGATCGTTATCGTGGTATGCAGGAGCCCCTGATCGTTATCGTGGTATGCAGGAGCCCCTGATCGTTATCGTGCTATGCAGGAGCGCTGATGGTTATCCTGGTATGCAGGAGCCCCTGATGGTTATCGTGGTATGCAGGAGCCCCTGATGGTTATCGTGGTATGCAGGAGCCCCCTGATGGTTATCGTGGTATGCAGGAGCCCCTGATGGTTATCCTGATATGCAGGAGCCCCTGATGGTTATCGTGGTATGCAGGAGCCCCCTGATGGTTATCCTGGTATGCAGGAGCCCCTGATGGTTATCCTGGTATGCAGGAGCCCATGATGGTTATCGTGGTATGTAGGAGCCCCTGATGGTTATCCTGGTATGTAGGAGCCCCTGATCGTTATCGTGGTATGCAGGAGCCCCTGATGGTTATCCTGGTATGCAGGAGCCCCTGATGGTTATCATGGTGTGCAGGAGCCCCTGATGGTTATCCTGGTATGCAGGAGCCCCAGATGGTTATCGTGGTATGCAGGAGTCCCTGATGGTTATCGTGGTATGTAGGAGTTCCTGATGGTTATCGTGGACTACAAGAGCCCTGATGGTTATCGTTGACTACAGGAGCCCTAATGGTTATCGTGGAATACAGGAGCCTCTGATGGTTATCGTGGACTACAGGAGCCTTCATGGATATCGTGGACTACAGGAGCCCCTAATCGTTATCGAGGAGGCATACGCGATCAGAAAACAGCAACCCAGGAACACCGATTGTGTTACGTTGCGTAACGGTTCACAGTAGCGTGAATGATACGTCAGCATTTCTGAGTTATCTTGTTGGATATTATGTTTTGATATCTTGAAATCTTCATAACTTCCTCTCGTTATCTCGTCCCGTGTAAATTTTTGTTACATGGGCCATCGCTGAAACGCAAGCTTAAGCCAACTAAAGCTTCCGTTTATCCAGAATATAATGATAGTACTTATTACATTTAAAGAATTAGTAAAGATATTATCTAATGAAGGCACTGAATAGGCCAAGTGAATGGTATTATTTGCATACATTTTATGGAAGGTCTTTGCGTTTATTCATCCACTAAGTCCCCATCCAGAACAAATATCCACCGATCAAGACAGAATGTATATCCACCAATGAAAACAATATATATATATATATATCCACCAATGAAAACAATATATATATATATATATATATATAATGTCGTACCTAGTAGCCAGAACGCACTTCTCAGCCTACTATGCAAGGCCCGATTTGCCTAATAAGCCAAGTTTTCATGAATTAATATATTTTCTCTAATTTTTTTCTTATGAATTGATAAAGCTACCCATTTCATTATGTATGAGGTTAATTTTTTTTATTGGAGTTAAAATTAACGTAGATATATGACCGAACCTAACCAACCCTACCTAACCTAACCTAACCTATCTTTATAGGTTAGGTTAGGTTAGGTGGCCGAAAAAGTTAGGTTAGGTTAGGTTAGGTAGGTTAGGTAGTCGAAAAACAATTAATTCATGAAAACTTAGCTTATTAGGCAAATCGGGCCTTGCATATTAGGCAGAGAAGTGCGTTCTGGCTACTAGGTACGACATATATATATATATATATATATATATATATATATATATATATATATATATATATATATATATATATATATATATATATCCACCAAATAAAACAGAATGAATATCCACCAGACACAGAGAAGCTATACCTACCATACTTTCAACATATACCAGTATATCAAACACTAAGAACACATATGCACCAATCAACAAATCACATGTCACTCGAACATTCTACATATCAACAAACACACAAAAATAATTCCACCCATTAGAAGTGTCCACCAATCACAAAAACATTCAGCAAATGCAAACAAAAAATATTCTTGAAATTATCTCCAAAATATTCATACAAGTACATACTAGGTTTATCTTTAA